AAATGTTGTACCATCCTTGCATCCCTGGGATGAATCCCACTTGATCATGATGGATGATCCTCTTGATGTATTTTTGAATTCAGTGTGCCAATATTTTGTTGAGAATTTTTCATCTATGTTCATTAGGGATATTGGTCTGTAATTTTCTTTTTTGTGGTGCCTTTGCCTGGTTTGGGCATTAGAGTGACTTCATCCCTTTATTTTTAAAACATTTTCTTTTATATGTGTCTCTTATAAATAGCATATAATTAGATTTGTTCTGACTCACTCTGAAAGTCTTTGTTTTGAAACAAAAGAGAGTTTAATCCATCCATGCTAACATTATGAGCTATTTGATCTTATTCTGACATCCTATGCTGTGCTTTCTGATTTTTGTAATGCTTTTTGCTGTTTTTTATGTTTTCTTTTGCTCAGGTTTTGTTTGCTTGTTTTTCTCTCTCTCATGATCTACAAGTTATATGTTCTATTTTTTTTCTATCAGTGGTTACCTTTAAATTAAAAATATTTATATTTGAAATTAATTTATAAGTTAATACCCCCTATAAAGCTGGCTTGCAACACTGTCATAGACATTTTCCCCAGTTTGCTGTAACTTTGATCTATTTTTAATGTGTTTCACCACTGGAACTGATACTCTGTTTCTGGCATTTAAACTCCCTAAACTGAATTCTGAGACACCACTTCTCATAATTCTTCTCCTACATATATGATTGCTATTTTTTTGGCCTCTTTCTCCTGATTCTTTCCTAAATCAGTTTCCTAAATAGCTACTGTTCTCAACTTCTGTCCATGGTTCACTTCTCATTCCCTGGACTATTAAACCCACATACACGGCTCTGGTTCAATTTGCTGAGAGCACCCAGACCTATATATCCTGCACTGACAATTATCCCCCGAGTTTCTCATTCCTGCGTTCAACTAAGTTAGCATCAACTGGATGTCCCACAATACCCCAAACTCAAGATACTCCAAACCAAAGTCACTACTTTCTAATAGTTAAGTGCCCTTTAGAGCCAGACTATCTGGGTTCAGAATTTGGCTCTGCTTTTTGCCAGTGGTGGGACTTTATGCAAGACTTTACTCATGCTCTCTGCACCTCAGTCTTGTTATATGGAAAATGTGGATAGTAACAGCACCTACCTCATCTGGTTGTTGTGGGGATTAAATGATTGTGACATGTAAAACTCTTAGAAGAATGCTTGGCCAAGTAAGAGCTATATAGTTGTTAGTGATTGTTTTTATGTTGCCCCCTCCTCCCCTACGTTCCATCTGTCACTTAATGGTACCATTGTTAACCTGTGCCAGAAACCTGTGGGTCATCTCATGTGCCTCTTCCTCCTCACATCCCTGTGTCCTGCTCGTTTTCTCTCTCAAACACTTCTCAAGCCTCTCCCTTCTTCTCCATCTTCCTTCTAGTCCAGCTAGGTTGACCAACCATGCCAATTTTCCCAAGATGGGGGGTTTCCCTGGATGTGGGATATTCAGTGTTAAAACCAGGACAGTTCCAGGCAAATTGGGACAAGTTGGTCATCCTCGGTCCAGACCTTCACCATCTCCTTTTCCTAGACACACGCAGCAGCCCCCCAACTGGTCTCTCTGGGGTCACCATGGTATCACAGGTCACCTTCCAAATCCCTGCCCAAGTTATCTTCCTACAACAGAACTTGGACATGTCACTCTGTGTTTAAAACCCCTCTGGCATTTCCCATTCTCCATGGCAGAAGGGCAGGAACCCTCTTCAGCATTGCATAGCTTGGCTTCTCTTCCTCTCCATCTGTGTCTCCAGCCACCCTCTGCAGGCCATTTACACTGTGGTGTTTGGAAGTGTTTTTGCAGACACACCTCTGTGCCTTTTCTCATGCCCTTAGCTTGGCCTGAAACTCCATTCCACCCTTCCTCTTCCCCATCCTCTTTTTGTAACTCCTAGTTCTCCTTCCAGATGAAACTCAGGTGTCCTCTCCCCAGGAGACCCTTCTGATGCTGTGCCCCCCTCCCTCCACGCCCCCCACCCACCCCTGTCTCTGCAGCCCCGTGAGCTAGGTGCCCCCGCTGTGCACTCCCACAGAGCCCTGGGGACACTGTCATGGAAGCATTTGCAGCACCATAAATGACAGGATCATTGTATGTCGACGGACTGTGAACTCCCTGGACTTCAGCCCCCACTTGTCTTGGCCCTTCCTGTTCTCCCCAGCCCACAGCAGCGGCTCACAGATGTTTGCTGAGTCATCTAGTCCATTTTCCACCTCCCTAGGATCTAGTCCTAAAGGGAAGCTCACTTTTCCTGAGGCAGCCTGTCCCCTGTAGGAGAGCTCTGCCTGGCTGAGAGATCTGTACTGAACTGAAATCTGCCTTCTTACAGGACAGCTCTGGAGTTAGCTTGAAGCTCCAAGATGGACCCATTCTCCCTTACGTAGTACCTCTTTCTAAGTCAGTTCCTCACAAGGGTTTCTGGTTGCTAATGACCTCTTTAAACAACCTGGTTGTGGGTTTTTGGAAAATCTAAACTTATCATCCCAGCAGGTTCCCATTTAGCCCTGCACTGACCTGCTGGGGGAAGTTCCAGGAGCTGTGCTTTCCTCCTTGAACCTGGGCAGGTTCCCATTGCGTGTTCTGTCCAAATGGACCAGATGGTAAACACTGAGAGGCAGGGGAAGTTCATGGTGAGCTAGAATGAAGGTATTCACGGCTCAGAAAGCAGGGTAAGGGCGTTGTGACTGGCTTGGTGCATTGAAGGGGCAGCAGTGATCTGACCTAGACTGGAAGGGAGTTTGATACAGAAAAGTTGTGGGAAATAAGGCAGAAATGGTAGGACTGGTGCTTTGGGGTATGGAAGGCAAGAAGCCACCAACAGTGAACAGGAGGCAACTAACAGCATTTTGCTCATCCCCACTGGAACTGAAGCTTGGACCCTTTGCAAATTTCATTATCTGGCCCTTCCAACTGACCTCCAGGGCTGCATTTATAGACTGAAATCCAAGATTCCTGTGGTCCTCCCCAGCCCAAACCAGGCAGGCGGGGAGTGTCTAGGTGTACAGACCACAAAGGAGAAATGAAGACATCTGCCTGCACTGAAGGCAGGTGGGTGGAGGCTCTGAGCCTGACTGGTTCTCTGGAGGGCAGGGTCATGGAGGCCCAGTCAATCCCTCCAGACCTCAGTCTTTTCTTCTATGGCAGCCCTCACCAGCTGGGGTCATTTTCCCTCACCAGCTGGGGTTATTTCAGGCAGGGACCCATAAACTACCATAACCTGAGTACACATGGCTTTCCTCCATTTCCCATCTCACACAAGACTTTAGCCTCCCTGTGGTCTCTCCAGGGATTTCTGGAAGGTTGCAGATGAAGTCCCGGGCTCACGATCATCCAGCTGGCTGTCTTGCCCATGTCCACTAGGGTCCACTGCCTGCCCCCAGCCATACTGCCTGCCGTAGCTGGGAGCTCCAGGGCCCTAAGGCTGCCTCTGGTTCTGCTGCATAGCAGGGATGAAGGCCCCTCTCCCCACCTCTCTGTTACCCTCTGTCTTAGCAAGGCTTTGGTGATAAACAGCCCATGTGTTCAGACTCACATGAGTCCACAGAATGATAGCAGCAGGGCCCTTGGTCTAGGAGACAGAGTCAGGAATGAAAGAATCCACAACGGCTCCCCTTCCCCTCTGACAACCAAGGCCATAATCATGCTTGACTCCTTGGAAATTATAATTCAGAATAACAACAAGAATAATAATAGTCAACACTAATAAGGAGTGTTCCATTTCCAGGTACTTAACATATACTGTCTCTTTTAACCTTCACTACAGTCCTATAAGGTAGTTGCTGTTATTATCTTGTTTTCTTCTAAATAGGTGAGAAACAAAAGCACAAAAAGATTAAGAAATATGTCAAGGTCACACAGTTAATAAGTGGCAGAGCCAGGATTAGAAGCCAGGCAATCTGACTGTAGAGTCTGTGCTTTGACCCTCTTCCAGAAGGATTCCTGTACACTCTGCCCGTAGACTTCAGGCTGGCCTGCCTCCCCTCCAACAAAAGTTTGGCAGAAGCACCTGGATATGCTGGACCCCCTGGGTTAGGCTGTTGATTGTGCCTCTGCTCTGTGACGCTGAGAAGGTGGATTAGCTCAGGGGTCTTATTAAAAATGCCCATGTCTGGGCTCAACTCCAGACCACTTAAATCAGAATCTCTAATTTTATGTTTGGGAAAGGTGATTCTTAGGAGCAGCCAGGGTTGAGAACGCTTGAATGAGGTGCACTCTGAAGGCTCTGGAAACTTGAGTGCTCCACTGTGGTGAATTGCCCAAAGCTGCTGCCTGCATGCCTCAAAGCCCCCCTGGAACCCAGGATGCTCCCAGTTCTCTGCCCAGTGGGAGGGGGCCTCTCGGGTCAGAAGTTAGAGGGCTGCCCAGAGGCTGCTTTCCTTTGGTCCTGGGACTTTCTAGAAAAGCCACACACAGCTTTGGGGGATGAAAGGTAGGCATGCTTTGCCCCTCCGGATGGATTCCTTCCACCTGTATCTGGCCCCAGAAGATTCCATAATGCAAACAGATACAAACCTCATCTGCATCATGAAAATAGGCGGCTATATTCTAGACCCTCTGTCTCTGTGCCAGGGAAACTGTTTTGTATGTAATGTAACACTGAGAGCTGGGGTCAGGACTTACAATACCCCTGAAATACCCCCAAATTCCACATGTAATATACATTGCTTGTCATATGGAAGGTGCTCAGGTAGCTTGATAACCTGGCAAGCAGGAGCCACAGCTCTCCAGGTTGTGTTCGAAATTTCACACAACAAACTGGGAAAAGAACTGCAGAAACGAGAGACTCAGGGATAGAGGCAGCCTAGAAGCAGTTTCTGCAGAGCCATCACTGCTCTGAGCCACTTGCAGGAAGGAGGCTGGGGGACCATGTGTGCCAGACTGAAGAACCACACCAGAGTCCAGGGGAGGAGGCGTTGGCAGGGCCATCTGTCATGAAGGTGACACTCACACAAGCTGTCTCTTTGTCACAGACAGTGACAAACACCTTCCGGACGGCCAACATCCAGATCCAGAGCCAGGACCAGAGGCTGCTGACGCTGTTGCTAGACAAGGACAATCGGCGCGTGTTCAGGGACGTGGTCAGGTGAGGCCTGCCTTTGCCACGCCTTCAGGCCCCACAGGGCAAACGTGAGCCACAGCCAGTCCCTACCTAACTCGGGATACCTTGTCAGCGGCAGATCCTCCTCTCCCTGCCCAGCCCAGGAGCTCTTCCTTGTCCTGACTTCCTCTTCCCTCTGTGAGGCCACCTCCTTATACCCTATAACAGAGGGGCTATCTTCAAGTTGCCTGGGCAGACTGGACCCCTGGGATCAGTCTCTGAGCTCATCTCTCTTCACCCCCAGATTTGAAGTTGCTCCCTGCCCAGAGCCACGTGCTGGGGCCCAGAAGTCCAAGGTGCTGGGGCTCAGTTCACACCAGCAGCAGGAGATGGAAAGGACCGAAGCCAAGGCCAAGCCCCTTCGAATGCCCATCAACACGTTCTCGGGCATCATCCAGTGAACCCGAGGGGGCAGCTTCAGCACAGAGCCCCACAGCGGCAGGCCTGGGAGGAAGGCTGCGCTATGCCACCAGCCCCCAAACACCCAGCCACCAGCCCAACAAGGCCCGGCTGCCTGGGGCAGCTTCTGGCTGTGCCTGGGAGCCCATGGTACCCGACACACAGGCATCCTGGCCGTGGGGGTGGTGACGGAGCAGGACCTGCACACAGGCGGAGGATGGCCTGGGCAAAGCTGCGCAGGGCCCAGCTCCTTGCATGATGGTCCACTTCTTCATTTCTTTTTCAATTTCCACCTCTTCCGCTCAAGCCGCCCCCCCCCCCCAGCCCTTAAAACCAAAGTGTGAACTGCTGTTCTGGCCAGGGCCCCCTTGGGCTGGGGGGATGGGAAGCAGGCAAAGGTGGCTCCACCCACTCCTGTCTGTCCCCTTCCCTCTCGGGCCACTGCCCCCTTACCCACAGGCATCTCTCTGGGTTGATGGGAAAATGTCAGATTCAATAAATGCATACTAAAGTGTTTCTGCTTTATCTAATACCCAGCAATACAATCAGACATTGTATTTTAATAGAGACCAGGGTCAGTGTTTAATCTAAGCACCTAAGGAATCCTCCTGGGCTAGGTAAGAGTTTTGTGAAGTATTTACTAGTGTGTTCTATCTACCTGCCCACCCCCTCCTCATTCACACTGACCTAGGAACTCCTGACCAGAACTATTTCAGAACAAACCTGGGAATGCAAGGCAGTCTAGGAGCCAGAGATGAAAGAAACCAAAGTTCTTGGCTTTTGAGTTCAAACACTTACGTCCAGATGTCAAATTGGGAAGATCAGTGACACACAACCGGTTCCTTCACTCCCAGGACAGCATGTGGGGTGGAAGGGAAAGCAACAGAAAGACACAAAGGCCTGGACTTGCGTCCACCTATCACCTGGGCAGGGTCCCAGGGAATAGTGGGGGTCAGGTTGGGGGGTGGAAGAATCTCTTTCAGGTTTGAGGACCCAAGAGTAGAGAGGCAGGCACTTCACTTGGCCCCAGGAGTGGGGTAAGTCCCCTAGCACATTCTCAATGCCCAGGGGAAGGTGTAAGAGGGGCTAGTAGGCAGGCAGACCCAAGCGCAGCCTTCCAGAGAGCCCCATACCCACCAGAGGTACAGGAAGCAGGTAAGGTTTACATGGGTAGTTAAAATAGCTAAAATGAAACAAGCCCAAGCCCTCTCATAGTAAGAGAAAGGTGAAGCTTTGAGTGGCAGTGGGAACTGCTGATACCCCAATGGACACCTGCATGACAGAGCCCCTGCCCCTAGTGGAGATCAGCGCTAGCCAGGTGAAAACAGGCATGGATGGATGTGCAGTCTTCCACTGAAGCCACACCCCTGCAGAACCCAAGGAGGAGAGGGACTAGAACAGCCCTCAGTGTGAGTGGGGTGGTTTTAAACCGGGAATGACCGATATCACTGAATATGAGTTTACCTTGAGGTGGTTAAGTATTCTTATTTTGCCATTGTGGTGATGTAAGTGGATTCATATCAGTTTGGGCACTCACAAGTACTAGGTTCTTTAAGTAAACCTTTGCAGAATTTACCAGTTTATTTGAGTCAGGTGAGGACTCTGAGCCTCCTGGCTTAAGATGTAGACCAAATTTTGGTATGCATTCAGACATGTGTTGGCAAGTTGCACCCACCCCCAACCCCCACCCCAGCCAAACAGATGCTCTGAGCAAAACTTGAATGAAAAGTTCACTGAATCAGTGGCCGGACACCAGACCATTCTGGAGTAAAGCCTGCAATACCATTCCATGGGTTTCGACTGGAATCTCTAGATTCTTATGCCCTGTTCACCAAAGGAGAAAATGCCCCTGAAAAAACAATAACCAATCTGTGTGACTTGCAGAGCACCAACTTCACCAATGAAAGTTTGCTACCATCAGACTAACAAAACCACTTCAGTTGATCTAAGATTCTTGCTATGTTTGTATTCACTACCTCTGGGGCGTGGTTTTTTTATTAAATAGCTAGCCACCTCTGAAGTGTGTACTCCCAAACTGGATGACTGAGCACCCTTAGGTGTGGATTAAAACTATCCAATACATACATACAGTAATGGGGGCTGAGATGGTTTCTGGGAAACGGTGCTGGAGTGCCACTCCAAGACAGCCCTCAGCTGTCAGTTTTCTCTGGGGATCATCTCCGCTGAAATAAGTTGTGTAACCCAATAATACCTCTTCCACGGGTGGCTCAAATCCAGTGAAACCTCTCTAGGCTCTGGGGACAAAAATAGCTGCCTTCCTGGAGCTCTGATTCTGATGGATACAGACAGTAATCAAGACAAACACGCGAACTAGAAACCAGTAGTGTGTTGGATGGCAATGCGTTTCAGTGAAAAAGCAGGGAAGGGAGTCTATGAGTCTGGGTGTGGATAAAGTGAGAGTTCCTGTGGCCAGGATTCTCACCTGGCCCTGGTTGACTAGCTCACTGCACACCTGTGGACAATACATGGCTGTTGACTCTATAAAAAGAGCTCCGCCCAGTGCTCTGGGCGCAACATGGTGGCAGGGCTGCAAGGCTGCAGGAGAACAGAACAGAACAGAGGCTGGAGTGGTGGCAGCGCTGAGGACAGAGGCCCAGAGGACGGCTGTGCGGGATAACTGTGCAGAGAGGCCCAGAGGACAGCTGTGCTGGACGGCTGTGCAGAGAAGCCCGGAGGACAGCTGTGCGGACAGAGGGGCCTGGAGGCGGAGACTGGCTTGCTGCATGCAGACTGACGCTCTGAGTGAACGGGATTTTAGTGACTAACCTGTCACTTGGAAATAAAGTTGGGTATAACCCTTTCACCCCAAGAACGCTTTGCTGTCATTTTCTTTGGTCACACTGAATCCATAGCAAACTTGCCCGGGGCTGAAACCCATTGGCAAGACACTGGGGAGGCGGTGGAAAGTTGTCAGTGAGGGTGGACAGGAACAGTACCTGAGGGTAACAGGGTGGTCCTGGATCAGGGGGCACTTCAGTAAAAACCTGAAGATGAGGGAGGGAGCTCCAATCACGGATTCTATTCTAGCTCCCCGCCCCCATTCTCACCCACAACACAGGTTTACTTGCCCGAAGCAGTTCAAGGACCTAACTCAGGTTGGTGGGCGATGCCGGCCCAGCGGGGCCCTAGGACGGCTTGGAGCGCACTGGGGCAGGCCCCTGGCCAAGATCTCGCGCACCTGCGCGTGTCCGGCAGGTGGGGCGGCAGCGGAGGGCCCGCCCCGGACGTGGCAGGTGCAGCTTGCAGGTGCGCCGACCCCCCCCGGGGGCGGAGCCTTCCGGGGCGGGGCCACTTCCGGGCGGGTGGCCGGATGGGGGTGGGGAGAGGTGGCGGTTGACCTGGCGACCGCGGCGGCGCTGGAGGCTAGAGGCGCGGATCGGCTCGCTCCTTGCCCGGAGGAGGCCTCTGGGGACATGGCGCCGCGCCCTCCACGGCCGCCGCGCCTTCCTGGCGCCCAGCTCCGCCCTCCGCCCGCCCAGGGCTGACGGAGCCCGGCAGCCATGAGCGCCAACCCCCAGTGGGACATCAGCAGGACGCTGGCGGTGGCCAGGCTCTTCCACCTGGTGTGCGGGGTCCGGGATGCCTGCGTGAACCCGTTCCTGACCCTCTACCTAAGGCAACTGGGCTTAGCCGCCGCCTGGGTGGGCATCCTAATGGGAACCAAGCACCTGATCGCAGCCTTCTGGGCTCCCTTCTGTGCCTTCCTGGCCAAAAGCTACCAGAAAAGGAGGGTGCTTCTGATAGGCTCGCTGTTTGGCTCGGCGGGAGCCAGCCTGTTGATGGTCCTGGTGCCGCCGTTGGACAAAGACCTGGTGTACAGCTCCTGTAACGGAAGTCACGGCGCGACCGCTGCAGCCCTACCACCGGGGGTCGCACCATCTGTGAACATCACCTCCGCCCAAGAGCCAGCCTTCAACTACCCAGCGGGGGCGCCCAGCCTCGCAGCCAGGAGGAGTACTGGGATGGTGGAAGCCTCTGGCCTCAGTGAAACCCCTGGGGAAGGTGTCCAAGAACCTGCCAGTCATCTGCCCAGCTACTCTGTGGGCTCGGCTGGAGGAGCCAGGACCACACCCCCGGTTCTCCATCCTGTTACTCCAGGAGTAAAAGATACTCCTTGGGAAGGTGCCTTCAAGGTAGTCAGTACTGCCCTCCCTTTGCTTGCTGGGGGCACAGAGCTGGGAACTCCAGCCAACTTGTCAGCAGCCAAGGGGCATGACCGCACCTTTGACCTCTCCTTGAAAGCGTTGCGATGGACTTTCATCCTGTCCTTGGGGTCCGTGGTGCTCTGGGAGCTGCTGACAGCCCCTCTGGAGCAGGTGGCAGACGACAGCCTTTATGAGTACCTGGATTTTGTGGATGCTACTGACCGTTACAGAAGCCTGTGGATCTGGAGGCTGCTGGGCATGTCAGCAGGTGTGTGTGGCATCTCAGCCTTGGTGGAGCAGCTGGACTGCTACTTGATGACAAATGGCCCCCGGGGTGTGGTGCACTTCTATGGCTACTCATTGGTCAGCCTCCTGGCTTTACTGGTGAGCGTCGCCTTTCCCGTCCCTACCTGCAGGCGGCAGGAGCCCCGCTACAAAACCATCAAAGCACTGTCTCTCATAGGGGGCAATCCCCGCCTCATTCTCCTGGCCCTCACTGTCTTCTTGCTAGGAGCTGCCACCAGCACGGTGCAGAACTTCCTGTTCTGGCACATGGAAGACCACGGGAGCAGCGAGCTGATCATGGGTTTCTCGGTTGCCCTGGGTTTGCTGGGGGAAATTCTACTGCATCCATTCAAAACTGTGCTGCTTAGGAAACTGTCCAGGGTGGGCACCGCGGGGCTGGGGCTGGGCTGCCTCTCAGGGCAGCTGCTGTACTACTCTTTCCTCTGGAGCTGGTGGTCCATCCTCCCTGCTCAGATCTTGAGTGCTGTCAGCAACGGGGCTCTGTGGTGGGCGATGAAGGCTTCAGTAGAGGACCTGGCCACCCCTGGAACAGAGAGACCTCTGAGTTTCATGTTCCGAGGCCACTTTTACTGGGGCGGGGCCAGCATGGGCAGCTTTGTGGGAGGCTTCGTGGTGACACGCTTCAGCCTGGCTGTGCTCTACCAGTCCTGCTGCGTAATCCTGTTGCTCTGGCTCACCTTGTTCCTGTCCATCTGGCTGAGACTGCCCCCAGAACAGAAAATCAACTACTCAAAGCTGCTGGCCATGGAGGCAAGTGACACAAGCGATTCTGAGCAGGGGACCGAACAGGACTGGCTTGTGAAAGCCATGAGGGAGGAACACTCAGACTGGAAGAGCTGAAAGATAGTCGAGATACACTGAACTGGGAAAGCACCCAAGGGCTGCACCAAACTCAGCCTGCTGAGGACAAATCCATGAGTCCCGCCCGGGCTTCTGGGGTCTTTGGGAGAGGAGCATGTCTGTGGTGAAGCCCCATGAGATCAAGTCATTGCACGATTTTCTTTACTTTTATGGTAAAAGGAGATTTAACGCTTTGCGGTTCAATCTTAAATGATGGAGCAAGAATATATTTGCTAAAAAACAAAAAAAAAGTTCCCTTTGTATTCACTCTATTTTGGTTTATAAGGTTTGCAAGCTTCACTAGTACTGACTCTGGTGCAGTTGATTTCAGCCATGGCAGGAGTGCTCAAATCAAACCGGCAGTGCTGGGAAGGCAAAGGGGACTTACAGGATTCAATTGGCAAAGGGTGTGCCTGGCTTCGATGAATCATGCTCATTCCCGTGGCTCCTAAAGCTGTGAACGTGATGCTGTAACAGCCATGCTGCGGGCAGGTAAGAACAGTAACTAAATCAAAACTCATCTCTCTCTCCCCACTGGTACACAGACACATTCACACCCAGGTACTTCAATTTCCACTAAGAAAATGATGGGAAATGTAGTATGTGTTGGGGGGCAAGGGGCTGCAGGTTAATAGGTTTTCATTCTTATTCTCAAATGCCTATGTCATCAAATCCTCTTCCATGCCTACATCAGAGCAAGGGCAATTTCCTGTCTTTGGAACCCGCATTTTGCATGTTCCATCTCTCGAGAGCACATAGACATTTTTTGCATCTGCTTGATTAGGGTGAAGCAGTCTCCATAGGGTTAGGATGCTACAGGTAGTCCACATTGTACCTGTGCCTAGTCACTGGCTGGGGTGCCTCTCAAACCCTCCAGGAAAGGACCCTTTATTCCAGAGGCCAGCTCCCAGGGTCCAATTCTTCTACCTTATAATCAGGCAAATATAGTATATTGGATTTAGAAGGGGTTTTGTTTTACAAATTTAGAAACTGTCTCATAGCTGGGGAATGAGAATACATATATGAATGGTTCTAGGAATTTTTTATTCTTTTTTTTTTCATTCTCCCTAAGAATCTTTAGAGTACAAATAACCAACAACAAAATTCCCTGGGCTTTAAATAATTAAGGATTTGCTTGTCTCACATAAATCTAGGGGTAGGCAGTCCAGAGCTGGTACAGCTGCTTAGCAATGCCACTGGGGACCTAAATCTTTTCATATCTTCACTCCATCATCCTCAGTTTGTAGGCCTCCCTCCCATATGTCCAACAAGATGGCTGCTGCACCTCCAGGCCTCTCATCCATGTCCAGGAAGGAAAAAGAGGTAAAGGAAGAAAAAGGAATGAATTCCTATATCAGAAAAACAAAAGCCTTCTCAGAAATCCTCAGCAGATTTATGAATGAACTACATCATGTGGCCACTGTGAACTGCAAAGAAGTCTGGGAGGTATTTTCCACTGAGCATATTTATACCCCAAGCAAAATCAGGGTTCGGTTAGGAAGAAAAGGGGACTGGATGTTGGGTTGTCAACTAGTGATGTCCAGCACAGTGTCAGAGGTGGAATGCACATCTAGGGCTGTCTTGTTCTAAGCCTACAGCGCTTTCTGCACAGTAAGCCAGTTTCCTCACATAAATGGCTTTGACAATTTGACACACACTCCCAACAACCCTATAAATAAGTCATATTTATTACCTGAATTTTACAAATGAGAAGATGGAGACTCAGCAAAGTGACACATTGGGTCACTGGTAGAAATACCACCAGGGCCCTGATTGCTTTCTCCCAAATTTAATTTTCTGCTCTGCCAGTAGTTCCCAAGCCTGGCTATCTATCCAAGTCATCTGGAGAGCATATCCCAAAAGACAGGTACCTGAGTTCCATCAGAATCTCTCAGGTGGGACCCAGAAATCTGTATTTTAATGCCACCTCTAAGAGATTCTGATATGACTAACTGAGCACCAATCTATTCAGTTACCCTTTCCAGTCCTGTCTGTCTCACCACTTCTTCACCAAGTGCCTTTAGCATGCAGTTAAATGAACAATTCCTGTTGAGTGGTTACCAGATGCTAGGCACTGCTCTCAACACTTCACATACTAGCTCATTTAACCCTTAAAGCAGTCTTAGAATGTAGCCACTATCACCACCTCTATTTTACAGAAGACAAAACTGGCAGCTAAGTAACTTGCTTGAGGTCACACAGCTAGTAGGTGGCAGAGTTGGAATTCAAATCCAGCCTGGTGGCATCCAAACCTGAGGCTTTAATCACTATGCTTTATGGCTAAGAAACTGGAGAAAAGAGGAGAAAATTAAATATTAAGATTTAAGGCAGCTCTCACTTGAAATTTACTTGATAGTAGATAGTGTTTACTATATAGACAGGACATACAGTAATACCAAGCAATGTGTGTCCCCCTAGCATGAAAAGATGAGGAACTGGACTTGACTTGAGAAAAGAATGAAGTTAGTAAGTGTGGCTTAGCCTCAAGAAGAAGGAGGAGGAGAAACGGGAGCTGGAGGCGGGGCGGGGGGCGGGGTGGAGAGGGGGCGGAGGAGGGCACAGAGTGATGTGAGGACTTGAGGGTCTGAAGATTTTATGGGGAGGATGCTAAGAAATCTGTGTTTTGGCTATTAACATTTCACTATTTCTGTAAAGATTTATGCTATTTGTCTTGGGGAATACAAGAATGAATAGAATGCACAGTCCCTACTCTCAAGAAGCTAATAGTCTGGAAAGAAAGCTTAGGACAGGTCATGGAAGGCCTGGATTCTGTAGACTTTGGGTAGCCATGGAAGGTTCTGGACAGGGTCATGACAGGTGAATACTGCACTGAGCTTTTTTAAAAAATAGCTTTATTAGAGTATTATTGACATAAAATAACTGCACATAGTTAACTTGTACAATTTGATATGTTTTGAGATATATACATATATATGTGAAGCCATCACCACAAGTCAGCCCCAAAATTTCCTCCTGCCCCTTTGTAATACCTACCCTACCTAGTTCTTATGCCCACTGACCTGCTTTCTGTCAATATACAGTAGTTTGCCTTTTAACAGCCTGTAGTATGTACCCTTTTATGTCAGACTTCTTTCACTCAGCATAATCGCAATGCCTCAGCACATCATGCTCTCTGTGCCCTGGTGTGGGACAAAGCAAAGCATGGAGTACTGCCAACCAGCGCAACTCGCCAAGCTTCCATGTCTGTGGTTTTATTGGGGCTTCATTTCATAGGCATGATTCACTGAATCATTGGCCTGGGGCTCAGTCTTCAGTTCCCACAGAAGTCAGGCTGATATCACCTGGCGCATATCCCCAAACGCCTAACCACATGGCTGGTCTTCTCTAGCATGGCCATCCCCCACCCTGAGTCACCTCATTAGCATAAACACAAGTATGGTCTGAGCGGTCCATCATGAGTAACAAAGACACTCTTATAACTCAGAAAATTTCAAGGACTTAGAGTCTGCCTCCTAGGAACCAGGGACAAAGGCCAGACAGAAGATCTAAAAGAACACACATACACAAACAGAACAAACTAAATGTCAAATGAAAAGTTAAAACAGTATTTCTGGAAGTCTGAGGCAGGCGTGATGGTTGAGTGCTGGGCTGATCAGAAGAGACCCTCGTGGAGATCACGAAGCAGGCCTGCATATTGAAGGACTGGGTCATACCGGCTTAAAGAGTTCCAGTTGTGACTTTCACTATTAATTAGCCATAAAAAAGGCTTCATAAAAGCAAAAGCAAATGAAATTCTTAGCTCCCAGCCTTACAGCTATCAGAGATTGAGTTCTAACATATCTTGGTTCCATCAAAGAGTAAAGTAAATATTGAATAAGCCATTAACAAATATGTTCGGCCTTACTTAGACCACTATTTCCCCAGCGAGTTCTGTAGAACACTTAATCCTAGTGGGGCAGTGGTGGGAGGGCACTACAGAGGCATTCTGTGGCTAACCAGTTTGGAAAGGGATATAAATTATGGTTACCTCTCAGAAACAATACATATTAGCAGTTAAAATAGCAAACTTGTTTAGCTCTGCTGAACTGTAATCGCTCTTACATACATGTTCCCGCACCCTTCTCCAGGAAACACCAACCACTGTCTTGCCCAGCTAGTATTCCCTAGAAGATACTTTGGGAAACACCAAAGTGGTAGTTTTCTGTGTGACCTTTTCAGCACAGCAAAGTCAGTACTGAGTGACAAATCTTGACCCCCACCCCAGATTGGCAGTGTCCTGGCTATCCATGCTAAGAACTTAACAAAGCTTATCTCATTAAGTCTGCACATCAGCACATCTTAAAGGTGGGCAAAGGTTCAAAAGGGTGGAAATTCAAAGCCAGATCTGTCTGAGCCCATCCCCTCAACCTCTATGTTAAAACAGATTCAGATAAGCATAGAGATTATTCCTAGCAGGGGAGTGATGATCGGAAGCAGGGGCATGGTGGGAGTGAAACACTAAGTTTGCATGTGGATTTTGTATGAGGTATCATGGAAAAAAATATGGTTGGAATCATGGGTTGGAACCAGATGTGGACACCCTAAATGTCAACCCAATGGAGAGGGAACTCACACAAGTTGAACTGTGCCTACCCTCTCTGAGCCTAACCTTGCATATGGTAATTCATAATTCTCACAGCAACACTAATGCTCATTTTACAGCAGGGGAAACTCGTAGCTCAGAGAGGTTAAGTGACCTAGTTGCCTAGGATCATGACTATTAGATGGTGGAGCATAGCTTGAACTCAGGTCGACCACTGCACATGCCATGGTCCTTCCGCCAATTACCAAGCTGCTTCTAGGAAGTAAAGATTTTACCAGCCAGTGGAGGGACACTGAAAGTTTTGGGTCTGAGTTGGGGGAGCTCCTGGTAGCTGGGATGTCTGTTTTGGACACCATTGCACTTGTCCAGGCAGGAAGTGGCTGCATCTCAAAAGAGGATCTAATGACATGATAATGTCGATGTTCTGTTCTGTATTGTGACCCCTCCAAATTCATGTTGAAGTCCTAGCCCACAGCATGATGGAATCTGGAGATGGGGCCATTGAAAGGTAATTGGGTTAAATGAGGTCATAAGGATAGTTCTGACTCCAACAGAATTGGTGTCCTTCTAAAACAAGGAGACACCAGAGAGCCTGCCTCTCCCCATGAATGCACAAGGAAAGGCCATGACAGGACACAGCGAGAAGGTGGCTGCCTACAAGGCAGGAAAAGAGTACCACCAGAAATTGAATTTGCCAGCACCTTGATCTTGGACTTCTAGCTTCCAGAACTATGAGAAAATAAGTGTCTGTTGTTTAAACTTCCCAGCCTGTGTTTTTTGTTATGGCATCCTGAGAATTCTAATACAGTACATGAAGGGGTTTCAGAGATGGAATCAATTATATAGCCCTTGGTTATTGATTGAATAATGGCAAGGGGGAGGCAAAGAAAGAAGGTTGTACCAAAGATCATGGATGATTTTGCAATTCTGAACCCATACGATGAGGGAG